ATGTGGCCACTGTCTCGGGTTGGGTCCCGCACCATTTGTGACAGGCCCATGGCTGCCATGGTAGCCATGAACTCCTGAGCCACCTCCGAGGACCATCCCAGGGACAGTAGGTTGAAGTCCCCCAGAACCATAAGCCTGGGGAACTCCACCACCAGCCCTGAGATGGCCTCCAGCAGCTCAGGCAGGGAGGCTGGTACAATAGCAGAACTTTCAACTGTTCACGGGCGCCCAACCTAATAAACAGTGTCTCACACCCAGAAACCTGTGGAGCAATGCCCCGAAGCCCACTAGAGATTCCCGGATCACAACAGCCACCCCTCCTCCCCAGCCCTGGCGTCTTGGCTGGTGCCACACCGAGAAACCAGCTGGGCACATTTCCGAGAGGGGCACCCCCCCTCGGGCCCCAGCCAGGTCTCAGTAATGCATGCCAGGTCTGCCCCCTCCTCAGTGATCAAGTCATATATGAGGGGGGCCTTTTTGTTAACTGACCTGGCATTAAGCAGGAGCAGCCGAATGCTTCCACAATGCTTTGGGCATAACCGCAGGGCGATTTGACCTTAGGGAGCTTCGGAGGGGAGGGAACAGGAAGTGGAGATTGCAAGTAGGGATATGTTGCCATATCAGAGTGAAAAGCGGAGGGAGAGGGGAGCCCAGGTCAGACTTCGAAGGCTAGACTAAGGAGTTTGTGCTGAATCTGGCAGCAGAGAGGAAAGACAGATAATTAACCTGTTGATTGGAATTCTGAAATGTTGGCTTAAACGACTGCGTGAAGCATCTGTATCATCCCAGGCTACAATTGCTTTGGAGAAAAGGCATTTAGGAAACATCAAATACAACAGGTTTTTATTGGCCCTTATCCAGGAACCCTCAGATAAAGTTTTTGGTCAAAAATGCTTACCTCTCTGCTTAAGTGTATTAAAAAGGAACTGAATTAGACTATTTTTGTCCACCTGATTTTTGATGCAGAAAGACTGCTGTGTTACACTTTTCAGGATGCAGTTAACATGATTACAGATCAGTTTTCTACATGGTTACTTGATCCTTAAAGAGCAGAACTTGCTGCAGCACCTTCGCTGTAACCTCAGCCCAAAAGAAATCCAGTTAGGAGTTCTGGGAGAGGTATCATGGAGCGGAGGTATCAAGGATAGTCACGCAGAGCTGGAAGGCTGAAAGTGACCACAGAAGTCCTAGGCAGAGGTTGCAGATATTGAGATGAGTGAGGGCAAGATGGGGAAGAAGTACCTTCCTAAGAGGCTCCAGTAGCCAGGCAGGTTTGCACTGATCTTTCACTCTTTTTAAGCATCTTTGATAGCTTTGTTAAGAATATGGCAGACATCTGCCCTGTGTCATTTTCTGGGACACTGATCCAGAATTGTCTGGTCTCTGCCTTCCTGGATGCTTTTTTTGCATGGTGTTCCTAGTAATGCTTTATGTTTTTCTTAGATCTGAACCAGAGCACACTTGGATCCCATTATGAGAATGCTCACTGGGAAAGAATCTTTTCCAGTAGTGACTCCAGCACAAACTGGGATAAAACTGTTGTAGACAGCTCAGAGAAGGAGGCATGGCCCTCGATCACCGGCAGTGACTTGGAGCTGGCTTCAGAATGTATGGACGTTGATTCTGCCTCGAGTTCCGGGTCAGAGAGGAACATTATTATGGCCTCACGGGGCCAGAGCAGTGAAGTAAGCAACCTACAAAACGGCATTGGACATGGTAATCAGACCAAGCTTGTCAGCAGTAGCAACAGCAATAATGTGAGCAGCGGAAGCATTAGCGGGTCATGGGGTGTGTCTCTTGGTGCCCTAATGAGCACCTGTCCAATTTCAGCAGATGCTTCCAATGGTATATCTGAAAGTAGCAACAATAGAATGAATGCTTGGGGCACCCCCAGTTCATCCAATGAAGAATTAAATTCCAGCACTTTGACGTCAAATGGCCACTGTGGTGCCTGGCCTGTCTTGGAGAACAGCGGGCATGCCCTGAAAGGGCCCCGAGGAAATGGTAGCTGCAGCACAGGTGCCGTTCAGATGGTGAACAATCAGAGCGTGAACTCTAGCCTTGGCAGCTCCTGGGGCAGCCTCCAGGAAAACTGTGATTCCCAATTAAATGGTACAAGGAAACTTTCACGGAGTGGGCAGCCTCAGAACCCGAACCACGAAGTGAATGGACCAAATAGTAACACTACTAACTTTATGACCTCTAGTTTACCAAACCCTGCTGGTTCAATGCAGACAACTGAACTGGCTAGTAATACAGGGCCTGGGACCTGGGGCAGGAGCACCAAAAGTAATCGGCCTCAGCCACCAGCCTCCCCAGTAACAAATGGCACTTCCATCTCACACCTGAGCAATGGTGACACAAAAAATGGGGGGACTCCTGGTACTAGGTGGGGTACTTATGGCCCTGGTTACTCCATAGACACCTGTCCTGACTCAAATAGCCAAGCTAATAATGACACTGTGAATGCAACTCCAATGCAGCCTGGGCTCAGTAGGACAGCTAGCTCAAACGTGGAAATAAGTGAGGATCAGCGAACAGGGATATGGGAGGTGGCAGGCATGGGCAATAGCCAGAATGGTGCTTGGGGGCCTAGAAGTGGAATGGGTCCTGGAGGAGCCCGGAGAGGTTCTGCCCAAAATGCCAACGTAACAGATGGTGAATGGAACAAACTGCCAAGTAATCATTCCTCTGAAGCCATCAGTGGGAATGGGAAGATGTTTACCAATGAGTGGAAATCTGCCGAGGAGGAAAAGGCAGGTGTTGACCCCCAATGCTGCACAGCACCCCAGGCCATAGAACAGAATGGTGGATGGACTAAGGCCAGTGCTGGAAATAGTGACGGCAATCCTGAAGGCCCTGAGGAGCGGTCCACCACAGAAGGGGCAAGCCACGAAAGAAGGAAAGTTGACCAGCAAACCCTGCTTCAAAGTATAGTGAACAGAACTGATCTGGATCCACGTGTCCTTTCCAATTCTGGTTGGGGGCAAACCCCAATAAAACAAAATACAGCTTGGGATACAGAGGTGACCCCAAAGGGAGAAAAGAAAGCTGACAATGGAACAGAAGCCTGGGGAGGTTGTGTGGCCCAAGCCTGCAGTTCGGGGGGAGCTATGGAGAGGCCCCATCTACATGGGCACAGTCCTTCCCCTGGGATGGGGTGGAGTGAGCCTAAATCTGTAACAAGATGGGGAGACTCCAGAGTCTCCAGCAGCCAAGGAGGCTGGGAAGAGGGCACAACTCCTGCACTGGCCAAGAACAGTCAATCGTGGGCAACAGGCCAAGAGGTCCGGTCTTCATCACTGACCTGGAGTGACACAGAAAAGCTCAAACAGGGATGGGGAGAAGGGCCAAAAGCAAGCCCTGGATGGGCTGTTCCAGCTGTCGACAGCTGGGGGGAGAACATGAGGAACAATCATTGGGGCGAGTTGAAGAAGTCTAGTTCTGGCAGTAGTGACAGTGACCGGTCAACCACCTGCTGGAAAGAGCCTGGTAGATCAAACTCTGGACGGTGGGGTGGGGGGAATAGCAGCAGCACAAAGTCAGGCAACGCTTCAGGATGGGAGGAGACTGCCAAGCCAAATCAAAGCCCAGTGTGGGGGGAATCCCCCAAGCCAAATCGCTCACAGAGTTGGGGGGAGGCTTCCAAGCCCTCTGGATCCCCAGACTGGAGCAAGCAGCAAGATGCCGGGTGCTGGGGGGGCCCATCAGCTGCTGCTGTTGCTACTGCTCCTGCAAGCAAGCCATCAGGTATAGGGTGGCTGGGGAAACCCATGCCAGCCCCAGTTAAAGAAGAAGAGCCCACTGGGTGGGAAGAGCCATCCCCAGAGTCCATTCGTCGTAAAATTGAGATTGACGACGGAACTTCTGCATGGGGTGATCCAAGCAAATACAATTACAAAAATGTGAACATGTGGAACAAGAACACCCCAAATTCTGTTGGCCGATCAGACGTGCAAGTGCAAGTGCATCAGCAGGGGCTGCCTTCAAGTTCTGCAGCCGGCATGGAGAACGGGGCTGGGAGTAGCTCCGGTAAGTCTCCAGTGGCTATTGCTTTCTGTCTTCTTAAGCAGCTCATAGGTTTCCTTTAGAATTGGATCACTGGATGGGTTGCTCTCAAGGGTAGTTTGATGCCTCCATAAAGCAGGGGTGGGCACCCCATGGTTCCCACAACATCTTTTATTGCTCCCAAAGTCCCATCCCAGAGTGGGCAGGGCCAGATGTTTGGGCCACTGGGCAGAGAGGTGGGGCAAATGGATGCTTTAAGCCTTGCATGACTTAAAGGGACAATAGCACTCCAGGGGAAAAACAAAAAGGTTCACCAGTTCTCCTGTAATGAGAAGGGGGGGGGGGCTTAACTTGCTATTTGTGTTAAAGTACACTTTCCCCTAGACACCCTTAGAAAACACAACGTTTGTTAGCCTCACTCAAAACAGGGTCACCAGAGCAGCCCTCTGATTGTGACAGAAGAGGCAGTGCAGTCAGTCAGCAGAAAGGGAGAGCTGCTGTCCATGTCCTGCTTTGCATGTCAAATTGGGGGAAGGCTCAGATTGGTGCTGGCAGCAAGAGGCCTTTCCTTTGCTCTGACTGCAAGACTGCGGGTGGGTCTGTGTTGGAAAGAGTAAGAATCTTCTTATATCTTCTTGAGATATTGAGAACTCCCTCTCAAAATCTTCTAGCCTAGCAAGCCAGACAGCCAAACAGAAAGCACTTGACAGGTTGTCTTTTTTTCACAAAATTCTTGGAAAAGGTTCTGGGATATTTGTAGAAGGTGGATGGACAGATCAGTTTAATCTTTGGGTTGTCTTCAAGCCAAAGCAAGCAAGGAAAAGAGTTGACTCTTGTCCGTGTGTGTCAGGGTGCTTTTTTTCTAAAGACAAGAATGTCATGCGCAGCCTTTTTTTTTTCCTATCAGAAGGATTTCTTGAACATGGGAATGACCTGATCTTACCCTAACAAGTAACTTCAGTTGGGGTAGAACTCTCAACTCTTCATTTGATTTGAGCTGCTTCCTCGGGATGTTTCTCTCTCTTTTTTTTCTTCAAACAACCCAACTGTTGTTTAACTAAGCCCCAGCCCTGCTAATAAGTTGGATCTGTTTTGAAAGGTTGGGGGGAGCCTCCTCCTGCACCTGCTACAGTAGATAATGGCACATCAGCATGGGGTAAACCTGTTGACACTGGTCCAAGTTGGGGAGAGTCTGTCAGTGATACCACCGGTGCCAGTAGCTGGGGAAATGCCTCTGGCGGGCAGCAGGCTTCTAATAAAACAGGTAAGAATGTTTGTGGCGAAATGGGGGTTGTGAATGCCTGTGGGGAGGTTTCTTGAGATTGGTGATAAAGCAGAATATACTGTTGTTCATACAAGCCACAGGCCCTGTGGGTTGGCGCTGGGCAATTTGGACTAGGCCTTCCTCTGCTGGTGGCTCTGGGCGAGGTCTGTTGGGAAACCGTAGGGGTGGTTTGTGGGACGAGCAGCCTAGCATGACAGTGTTGATAAACTAAGAGAGGGTTGATTTTCTCCCAACCAGGACCTAAGTCTATGCAAGTTCCCGACGGTTGGTGTGGGGGTGATATGCCTTTGACAGGAAATCATCCAGCCAGCTGGGAGGAAGAGGAGGATGTGGAGATAGGAATGTGGAACAGCAACTCGGTGCAAGATGCCAGTGCACCTTTGCATTGGCCACCATGCTCAAAAAAGTTGCCTTCTAAGGTAAATATGCTAGGTGGAAGGGTGGTCATGTTTATGGCCAAGAAAGGGAGGGTATGGGCTCTGATCTTTCCTCATCCTGCAGAAATAGATGATTTTGTACTGTGATAAGAAAGTGGGTAATATGGGACACTGAGAGAGCAGAGATCCTACTGTGGTTTCTCTGCCTGGAGACAAGACCCCTGACAGCTGTTGTCTCTGTCAGGCAGGTGTCTGAAGTTCTGAGGGAATTTCTTATGTCTGTTCATCATTTTGCACTTACTGCACCCAATACATCCTCTAGTTGTTTAGCCTTGATGCTCAGCCCCAGGGGTTAACTCCATACTGATCTGCTATTGCCCTGACAGGTCAGGGTAAGGAGAGGGGATAGCCTTTGGCTGCTGGGGATGAGGTGGTCTTCCTGCCCAGGCTTTGGAGAAGAGATGAGACAGCTGGGAGGAATCAGTCTGATCCTTTGGCTGCCATTTGATTATTCCTCCAACTCCCCAAGACAAGAAGGGAGGCACAAGTAAATCCACAAAGTTTTCAGGCCTTTTTTTTAGATATGTAACCTACCCTCCTGACCAGGCTGAGCTAGAAGAATCTCTTCCGCCCCAACACATTGCTGTTGGAAGCCTAAACTGCAGTCTGCTTTCTGCACAGGCATGTTCTCATAACCATGTCTAGAACATTGATGTATTCCTGCTGTTCTGATGCTGTGGTTTTTTGTTTTTTTTCAAGGGAACAATGAAAAATGGAAATAAGCAAGATGAAATGTGGATAAATCCATTTGTGAAGCAATTTGCAAATCTTGGGTTCCCTGTAAGTATGGCAGGAAGAGAGAACATTCCCATATGTTTTTGTTTAACCAACTGTCCATTGCCTTTTTGGTCACATGCTTCTTTCTTTGAAAACCACCTTCTCCCCTCACCTTCTCAGGAAAGGTGAAAAGGCTGCATTCAGATACTGTCTCGATTAACCAAATCTCATCCTTTCCTTCAGAGAGACTTGCCAGAAGAAATGATGCAGAGCAATAAGATAGATCTATCTGGAGGTAAGACAAGCATCAGATTAGAATGGAAATAAGTGGCTTAGAATTTGTTATTTCAAATTTTAAAACACTAAGTTTCTGATGGTGAGCCCATTAAAATAACTATTGCTGTGATTACTTCCTGTTACAACAATTAAACTAAGCAAACCATTGCCCCAACAGGCTATAGAATTGGCTGTGTCTTTTCTCCAGGGACGTGCTACTTTCCATACCTTAATGGACGTCTTCTGGGCTGGGTCAGCTGGGTGTCCCCCAGCCCATGTGGTCCACTGGCCCTTTTCTTTAGGCTGTGGGAGCCCCTGAGAACTCAGTAGCAAACCTTGATATGCAGCAACACTGTGATTTTTTCACTGACTTCTTTAAAAATAAGCATATGGAAGAGGAGTTCAGAATGGATTGGAGATACCAAAAACACATCTGCAAATTATTACAGAAAGGTGGGGAAGGGAAGACAGCAGAGACCAGCTGCTGCCCACAAAAGCTAGCAAAAATCACGAAGTGCACAAGGGAGAGTTGTCTCTCTTCAGAGAGGGGGAGAACCCAGAGAACTGCAGACTCATCAGTCTAATACAAAGCATTGAGAAGACCCAGAGCAGATCACGGAAAGACCAGTCTGTGGCCACATTCAAGGCAATGGGGTGATTCCAGAGTCAGTCTCAATATTCAGTTGGGGAACTTTCTTAGTAGATGGTGGAAATACCACAGACACCATGCCTCTTGATTTCAGCAGAGCATTTGATAAAGTACCCATTGATCTTCTTACTAGCTAGTTGATGAAGTGTGGGGTGGGGGGCATGGCAATTACGTGGATATCTAACAGGCTTGGAAACCAGTCAAAGAGTGCTCATCAGTGGTTCTTCATCAGATTAGAATGAGGCATCCAGGATATAGTTTAGTCTTGTCCTGTACTGTTCGGTGTCCCTATCAGTGACTTCGAGAAAGAGGCAAAGGGAATGCTTATCAGATTTCCAGGGAACACAAAATTAGGTGGAAGAGGTAGTCCTCTAGAACATAGAACTATCATTTTAAATGATATTTTGTTAGTTAGAGAAATACTGAAAAGAGAACAAAATTTAGATGACAGATGCAAAGTTTTTCACTTAGGAATCAGAACTCAAATGCACCAGTAGAGGAAGGGGGACACATGGGTCTTAGGCCCTGGAATAAGTAATTATAAGCCAGCTGGGTGATGTGGCAGATTAAAAAAAGCAAGTGCACTTTTAGGCAGAATCAAAAGACTTACAGTTTCCAAATCACTGAAAGCAGCTGCTCCATTTTATTCGGTTTTGGTCAGACCCAACTTTGAAACTGTGTCTGGTTCTGGTCACCACAGCCTGGCCTAAGTTGAGAGAAGAGCAGCAAGTAAGCCCGGGGGCCAGAAACTGAGGAGAGAGGCAGGAATGGAACAGGGCGTGTTTAGTCTTGAGGAAAAAAGATGGGGTGGGGGAGGACAACCTTCTGCAGAGATCAGAAAGGGGATCTGTCACGGGCAAGCAGCTGCAGGACAGTCCTCCATTGTTCCAGGGAGCATGACACAAAATAAGAAATTTGAGCAGAGTGTTAGGGGAAAAAAACTCCCCAGGGATAGGAGCACTTAGCAGAAGCCATACCAAAGTAGGGTTGGGATCTGCTCGTTGTGTCTGTTTAAGGAGAAGCTGGATCGCAGTCTGAGGGAAGACTTTGATTTGGATTCCATCACAGAGTGGGTTTTGCTCACTAGCCTATATGGCTCTTTCCAATTCTAACTCCAAGCAGCACTAAAACCTCCAGAGGGCCTCTTTTGCAGACGGAAAAGGGGGGAAATTAGAAGCCCCAAATGCTTTGAATTGCCCAACACGCTTTTGTAGCATATGCAGGATTCAGATCCAGAGCAGGCAAGAGGTTTCAGACCTGGCACGGGTGCCCTTGCTGGACTGGCTGGCAGTTCCTTAAGGGAACGTGGGCTTTTTCCCCACTTGCTCACGGAACGGCAGGAGGCGGGAAAAGGAATATATGTTTAGTTCTA